ACATCTACTCCTCCTTTTTCTTAGAGGAATAAGCCTTGTGCATACATCGAGTGCCACCGAGTTAATCTGTTCTAGGCATAAGTTTGGGTCTGTGTTGCTTAGTATATCTTCCCAGCTTATATCGGTTAGGACTTGGTTTACTTGGTCCCACTTTATGTTTTTGTTATTGAAGTTGAATTTGGTGAATGCTCCCTCGTGACTAGTCTCATTTTGTCGGTCTGGGGCTCCACGCATACATGTCTGAACCTCAATTATGTTGTGATCTGAGTATATTGTTTTTGATATGGTGACATTTCTTATCAGATCATCATTGTTAGTGAAGATGAGGTCTAGTGTATTCTCCAGTCTAGTAGGCTCTATTATTTGCTGGTTTAAATTGAATTTTGTGCAGAGATTTAAAAGCTCGTGTGAGTGTGAGTTTTCATCAGAGCTGCCTCCTGGTGTTATTTCTGCAACAATATTATGTTATATTCCTCCATTTTAGGTGCCTTAAGTTGAAGTCCCCCAGGAGCAAGATGTTGGGTGCAGGAGCTGGAAGATTTTCCAGACAGTGGTCAATTTTAACAGCTGTTCCTGGAATTGCTGGGATGTTGCATCCAGAGGCTTGTAGACTACCACAATGACTAGGTTTTGGTTCTCGACCTTTACTGCTAAAACTTCCACTACATCATTTGAGGCATTAAGCAGTTCTGTGCAAACAAGTGACTCTGCAATGTACAGGCCAACCCCCCCCTTTTGCCTGTTCACTCTGTCACATCTGTATAGGTTGTAACCTGGGATCCATATTTCGTTGTCCAATTGATCCTTTATGTGGGTCTCAGTGAAAGCCGCGAACATTGCCTTTGCCTCTGCAAGCAGTCCACGGATGAAAGGTATTTTGTTGTTTGTTGCTGGCTTTAGACCCTGTATATTTGCAAAGAAGATGTTATCGGACTGGTGGTATTGTTGGTACTGGGGGGGATTTTTTTTCCGGCATTAGTATCTGTATCTGTTGGTTTGGAGTGGAGGCCATCGACTGTGGTTCCACTCCAGGAATGACTGGATTTGGTGTACGATTTCTGCCATTTCCTGCCAGTTTTTTTTCCTTCCTGGCACTAAAAAACCTCTCCCTCTTGAGTGGCTGTGGCTACCCAGGTTTTCCCATGGACTGGATGTTTTGTATCTTTTTGTCCCTTTAGATGGTATGCCTGGCAATTTAAGTTATAGCACAGTCTTTCCTGTACTGAAGAGGTACACATTTCAGGGTGAAAAAGCTTACAGGAAGGGAGTTTGCATTTTCCTGTTTTCATATGGCATGGCATTTTCTAGGGTGGTCATAGTTGCATGTCCCATCTGTTTTTCCAGATTTCCCATGCCAGCAGATACCAAGTGCATAGTATGTGCACAGGCTTGGTTTCCGCTTGCCTTGGGTTTCTGTGACTGTATTCCCTGTTGGTGCATGTTTCCCTGTCTTACTTCTATCCTCCCTAGCACCAACAATGGAGCTCCCACCAGTTGTTTTTGGTAATTTATCCTCACTATTGCTATTGGAGTCCTCTTGTTTGCTATTTCCTGCGGTATTTCTAGTTTGCAATATTGGTTTTATCTTATCTTTGACTACACTTGTTTCCCTACTATGGCTCCTGTCCCCTATGAGGTCATTTATATGTATTCCTTCCTGCGTATAATTCCCGACTACCTGGACAAAATCTCCAGCTTCACCATTTCTGTCTCCCAGGACAGTATCTCCAGCTTCACCATTTCTGTCTCCCAGGACAGCACCTCCAGCTTCCCCATTACTGTCTCCCAGGACAGCACTATCAGCCCCACATTTACTGACTACCAGGACATCACCTCCAGCCTTACAGTTTGTGACTACATGGCCAGTATCAAGGGCAGTACCATTCAGCCCAGACTTTTTATGTTCCCATCTGTTGTAGAAAGCTTCCAGGTTTTCTATGAAAGCAGCTTTGATGTTGTCCTCTTTTAATACCCTTGTGATTTTAGTCCACATATTTTCCTCATTTGGGCATACCCAAAAACACTTCTCTGTTTTAATACTGCTTGTAGCTAGTTCTGGGATATCTGCACAAGGAGCGTGACACCAATTTCCACAAAAATGACAATTTATCCATGTGGAAGCCCGTTTGTTTGACTGACCACAGACTACACACAGCTTCATAATGATTTGAATGGTTGATTTACTGCAATTCTACTAGCAACCTCTTGAATATTATATTAATAACCTTAAATGAAGCTCTAGCTATTTGTATTTCTGTTTCTAACTCTTTTTGTATATTGGACAGCTTACCGTCACGTTCCTGATTTTTAATGTTTGTGTTTATATAAGGGCGCCTACAACCCCATCCGTTTACAGTCTGCTTTATTGTCCAACGAAACTGTTTGAAACCAGTCCCGGGTTCGGACCAGTCAAGGGTTCGGACCAGTCGATCTGCTCTGATCAGAGGGTCACTTATTTAAAACATACTGGTCGGTGATTTGAGCTAACACATGAAGGATCTACTGGAAATTATCTACCCGAGTAATATGTGATTTGACTGATACAAAAGTATAACTTGCGTGTTGAAGAGCCGGTGATATCTGGCAGCTCCTACAAGGACGAACGGTCGACCTCAACCCTTGTTTATCAATCGCTGTATCTGGCTTTTCTATTTTTTTTTTTTTCGTCTCCACCACAATAAATGCTATATTATCACTATAGTTGACTGGTGCAAATTTTGGAGGAAGGACGCTTTTTCTGTAGTAATAATTGTTTCTCGTTGTGTATATTGCGACCGCTGGTAACTACAGGTTATATGAAATTCACAGTAACGTCTCGTATTTCAAGAAAAAGAAACTAATGAAAGTCACTCCACTCCACTAAGTACCATTATAATACTGGTTAGTTGCTACTACAACACTGTATTCTGCTATTCACTGGTATCACTAGATTATATGCGAGTACACTAGCAAGCCAGGAAGATTATTAAAAACAGCTGACCTGTGGTAAGTTTCTGGCGACTTCTGGCACCTGCCTCTATAGGCTTATCACTTCATTTACAAATTCACCTGTTTTCAAATGACACTTTAGCCTTTATCATCAATATACTAGGGAGCCACTGTAGTATACACTATACACTATGTATACTCGATGTTATCAGGGAGACTTTCTTTCCTCTGACACGAAAAGTTCAATTATTATTATTTTTTTTCCATACGGGACACAGGCCTATGATTCCCCTCTGGCAGTAAACTCTGCTAGGTATTTTTACTGCTAGTATTTTTACTGCTGAATTGTATGCCATTCTTGCAGCACTTATCCATATTGCATCTATGCCTGCATCATCATTTGTGGTTGTCCGAGACTTAGTGCTTTACAGGCTATACAGAAATTTGATACCTCACCCCTTAGTCCTCCGTATCCAACTTTGGCTACGCTGCATCTTTACCAAGCATAAAGATTTTGTTTTTTGTTGGGTCCCTGGTCATGTTGACGTACAGGGCAATGAACAGGCAGACACTGCTGCGTGGTCAGCAGTACATGACCTACCAGTTTCACATAGAGGTATTCTATTTACGGACTATTTTGCTGCAATAGCTACCCACCTTCAAACCCGTTGGCAACAACGTTGGTCTACTATGCTCGGTAACAAACTTCAATCTATTAAACCGAGTATAGGTTACTGGCCGTCTTGTCACCAGTGTCGAGGTTGAGAGACTACTCTCTCCCGTCTTCGCATTGGCCATACTCGTCTTACTCATGGATATCTCATGGATAGGTGCCCTGCTCCTCTCTGAGAATTGTCAGGTTCCATTATCAGTCAGCCACATTCTGCTAGACTGTCCACTTTATCAATGAGCATGCAGAATATACCTCTGTCGTCGTCTTCGCTCCGCTGCTCTCTCTACCTTCCCTTCTCGCTGATGGACCCACCTTTCATCCGGATTCTCTCATTGACTTTTTGACAACAACTGACTTACTTCACAAACTGATACCTTCAGCCCTTTCTACCTCAGTCTCTTGCTACCCTCTACCCCTGCACTATCCCCTGGCCTGCTGTTTTCTGTAACCTACTGATCATCCCTTCCCCCTTCTGCCACCCAATACCCTCGCTTCCTTCCCTACCCTGCAGCGCTGTATAGCCCTTGTGGCTTAGCGCTTCTTTTTTATTATAATAATTATTAGCTGTTCAGAGGGCCATGCAGAAACAAGCTGATATATACAGGGAAAGATCGCAGGCAGCAGGACTCGATACTACTACTACTGGGAGACGGGCAGAGTTTCCAGGTAACGCTCTTATCCAGTCAAATGCCTCACAAGCTGGGCAGCCTGGTTCACAAGGAAGGCTGCCCAGGTTGGGCAGAACGTGTATCTGGCCCTCCTTCAACAGCAAGTGTTAGTGACTAATCTCTCGGCCGAAGATCACGGCACGTCTCGCCCACAGTAATGTTTGCCGGTGCTACTCCCATCTTTACTTGTCGCAAGCATTGTATGAAAAGTGCTAAATTTGAACACATTTTGTTCACGCTTGAAGCTTTTAACTTTCATAGCGGCTTATAATTACCTATGAAGGTCATGCAGGGTAGTGTGTGCTAAAAGTATAGGCTCGATCAATGATGAAGTATAAATAGTGAATTAGTTTTTAGTCCCCCCTCAAGGGAGGTTCTTTGATGCTAGTGAGGGGCTCGTCTACGGAATTGGCTGTGCTGCTGTTTCCTGAATGCCTTCCACCCCCGTCCCCTCCTCAGGCACTGTATAATTCCTACGGGTTTAGCGCTCCATGATAATTGAGTAGTCACTGGTCTCTTTTTTTTTATCATTAATAAGAGCATAATAGTAAGTTTCACTGCACCTGCAATAAAATCTTTCAAAAGGTTGAATTTAAAACTATAGTATAATTTTCTAGGTTTGTGTCATGTTAAGGGGGACGGGGGAGATGAGCCAGCAAGAGTGGACCTAGTATTCATTACAAGTGCATCCAACATAGGTAAATTAAAATGTTATAATTAAAAATTTAGACCGCTGTGAAATACCTTTATTAGTAGGAAAACCTATTACAGAATTTTTAGAGTAGCAGCAACGTCAGTGTTATCAAACTTTCCACTTCTGGGTAATATTTTCCTATTTTCATTATACCACCCAATGTACATTAGTTCTGTAATTAGATGGTAATGGGAATACCGTCTAGTGTTGCTGACACAAGCAATTTAAAATGTAATGTTTAGTCTGCTCAGGGGGCTTTTTAAAGGCTGATCAGATTAAACTAAGGCAAAACATGTTAGTTTCTAATTACTACAAGTATCAACGCCACACTAAAGTTCAAGTAGCACGTGAACTCTGTAAATCAAGCGATATGTAAGAAGACTAGATGCTTATTGACAAAGAAAAGCTGAACCCATAATCATAGTGCAGAGGTGGTGGTATAATTTAATGCCAAGGCTGGGCTTCTGGCACGGAAGGTAGTCATAACTTATGCGTGCACATGTATGAAGATTGCGTGCCCTACTAGGCTGTTACTGTAGTGAACTGTTAACACTTCTCAGAGTATGTGACTGGGGCCTCTTCAGATGTGTGTGAGACGAGGGGGGGGGGCAGTCAACTAAAATAACATTAAGAGCAATTAAGGTGCTAACTATTTAGGTGAACTAGAGTTCACTAATTAAAAGACCAAAAATTCTCCCTAATCCGAAAAGCCAGGTCCTAGCAGTCTAGGGACTGGTAGTACACAGCCTCCAGCGGATATCTAAGCTGATAACCTAACAATAATTAATAAAAATCTGAACTTTTACAGTTACGCAGCCTTACCAGCAACAAGACACCCTCTGCGACCTCTGGTAGGACCAAACCTAATTAACGAAGAAATTCACCTTAATTTCTAGCTCAAACCGGATATAATATGCAAGTTGCTTGGCCAGGTGGTTTAAGGCCTCAACGAGGCCTTAAACCACGTAACCTTCCTATATAAATATTCAGTAACGTCCTAAATACACCAAAACCTATCATTGACAGTTAAAAAATAAATACGAACTATTAAGCTAACTTGGGACTGCTTAGTCAGCTATAAATAACTTATTTGGTAAACCATGTACATTTTTTTAATAAAGTACGGAAAGCCTTAATGAAATTTTAGTAAATAAGATTACATACTATAATTCTCTCACACACACACACACACACACACACACACAGGGCCAGAAGCTAAGAATCGACCCCTGCAACCACAAATAGGCGAGTACACACACACACACACACACACACACACACACACACACACACACACACACACCTTGCTATGCTAACCATCTCAGGGAAGGTCCTTTGAGGGGCTCTTGATGCCAGGGAATGAATGGACCTGATTGCCTCCCATTTCTGCAGGTGCTGTATGACCACTTTACTCCTAAATACAATATGGTAAGTTGCCTAGTAAATACAAACCTATTACATTCATGGGAGAAGCGCTGAACCCGAATGTTGCACGTGCCTTAGTACTCCGTATACGGTACTGTCTGGTCCGGTCTGATCCAAGTAGTACTATTTAGACCAGTCCAACTGTCCTGAATCCACGAATTACCTATGAATTATTACTTTATACCTTACCTTAATAAATTCCTATTGGATGGTTATAACTAATTTTTAAATGGGTGGACCGGTAAGCCAGCGGAAGGCCTCTGTCAAATGACCAAAAGCTCCAACGGCGGGTCATCATCTAAGACTCGCGTCAGGAAACACTTTTCCTGTTTCCTGACGAACCTAATCTAATAAATTCCTAAACATATTTATTTCATCCTAAATTAAGTATGCAAACCTCTCAAACTCCTTGAATAGGTGGCTGTGGCAACAGCTGCCGCTTTGATCAATGTACGGAGGCGCAGGTGGCTTACACACACAGATCAAAGGCTTCGTACATTTTAAAGTTCCCAGTTATTTTTATACAAAATGCTGTCATCCTGCCACTAAGTTCGCTAACAAGGGCTGTGACATTGTCCTCAAAACTTCATTTGTGATTTAACGTAATAGGAGATCCCTTAATCCTGGTGAGCATCACTAATTTAATTGGGCCAGTCCTCCCCTTAGAATCTGACTGCCTGCCATTCTCCCAGGAACTGCATAGCTAAGAGTAGAGCTCCCCTTAAATGTGACAAAATAGAAAGTTCGTCAAATTTAGGAAAGAAAGTACAATGTTCTTTTACGGTCTAATATAAATCATGCAAACTATAATCTTAAATTTGTCAAAATCTCAAAATCAACTTAATTATTCTAATATCCCTTTAATATAATTCAAGGCACAAGTAATGCATACTGTGATAATTTTACTCTAGTACACTTCAACCCTATTCTCCCTGTCAATACATAATAGCTCTGGTCTTAATTGCATGCGAGGCATTAACTGGTTTAGGTGTAGTTGTAGTAGTGTCACCACCACTGTTGCTGCTTGGGATACCCACAGTAGCCACGATGATCACTACTATGACCAAGACTATAACACAGCCTAGTATAAGCATCATTTTTAGGTTCTTCCACCAGTACTTCCTCTTCAGTTTGCGTGAGGTTGTCTGGAACTCTGAAGCACTCATCTGCAAAGAAAGTATTCCAATCCATACATTATCGAATAATCATTTTATTCTTATAATAATAATATACTAAATAATATTTTTATTTACTACAAGTACATGTACAAAGTATACAGTCCTAGCTGACAACAATGACATACTACTATATAGAAAGTCCCTTGTTATGCTCCGCATTTCGGGCAAATTAGGTCAGTGTCCCAGGATGCGACCCACACCAGTCGACTAACACCCAGGTACCCATTTTACTGATGGGGAACATAGACAACAGGTGGAAAGAAACACGTCCAATGAAACTTCTACTCTGGCTGGGAATCAAACCCAGACCCTCGCCGTGTGAAGCGAGAGCGTTAACCACCAGGCCACCAGAGGCTGGTGAAAGTCTTCAGATTAAAGGTATTGTAACTACTACACATTTTTAGTCAAACCTGTCTTCCATTTCCTAGGTAACGTGTGAAATGTGCAGAATTAGAGTTTCCCTATATGTCAATAGTAACAGAGGGAGGAATGGTGGCGATTACCAGATATCGGCCCATTGCTTGTGAAAGGCATGTTCGCCATTTACTCGGCCATTAAATTAAAAGTTGGAAATCTTATGCTGTTACATTTGTAGGGCATTTGACTTTTCCAAGTTCAACCATATACTAAACTCAAAAAACCATTAAAAAATCAAGAACCACCAACGAAATACCAGTTGACTTCGTTAAGAAATAATAATCTATGCAAACAGTTAAAAATTACCAGAAGAAATTTCAAAGACTTATCATTAATATCGCCTACGAGTTCCCAGAGGTACACCTTTAATAAAATAACCTCCTCCCTTCCCCAGAAGGTCTAATGAAAATTACGTGGAAAATCTCAAATCCATGGGAAAACTTAAATTTGAGAGTGGGCAGCACTTACCACAGAAGGGACAGTACCACCTGTTATCAGCGCACGAGTCACATGCATGTGCTCAGGTTCTCATTTTATATATCAGAACAGTTAAAAAAAGGGAGGGGGGGGGCGCCTAGCATCCTCATCCTGTTGAACCCTAGGTAATGTTGCTCATCTTAGATTTTGCCACCGAAGTGGCTAGTTTATTGTGCACCCCATATCCATCCTGTGGACGGTAGCGCGAGAGCATGTGGATACACAAAAGGCCTAGGAACTAGGCCCCAAAGGGTTAACAGGAATACATATGGATTTATATCTACATATCTATAGTTCACTTATCTGTTACAAGCAAATTTAGGAAATTTGCTTAGTATATCTGGTATCTTATTTTCATTAATAAGATATCTTGACATGTCACATAGGTTATTATACTGTCTGTCTCTGTATTCCTCAATAAGTGGACAATTAAGCACATAGTGTTCAAGAGAGTGACCATATGCCTGATCACATAATTTACATTTAGTTTGATCATCATCTGTGTGTCTCCCAAACTGCCAGAAGTACTTGTAACCAAGCCTAAGCCTGGCCACTACAACATCAGTCAGTCTGTTCACATTGTAAGTTGCTCCATAAACATACTTATCTACGTTCATGTTATCATAGTGGGTTATAGATCTACTCAGGCTTCTAACTGCATTCCTATAACAATCATCTTCATTATTTACTTCTCTAATATTATTCCTAATGCTAGACACAGTTATACCAAAGTTATATTCTACGTTCTCCTTCTGGATACTCTTCTTGGCTAACATATCAACTTTATCATGAAGGAGTAACTGTGGCCAGTGAAACGAAGCTTGTTCTAGCGACTTCATAGCTAGTTTGATCCTCTCCCTGGACGCCGAAAACTGCTACAGCTAAGCCCTGTGATTCTGCATTTGAGTGCAAACTCTTGCCTGTTCTCAAGGTCGGATTATATCAGTCAAAAATTACAATAAATTGTTGAATACATATGAACATAGTTGAAACAACCATTTAGGTACTTATTTTCAACTAATTCGATAAAGTATTCAATTAACTACCAGCTCAGAATTATTTTTGTTACCATACATTAACTTTACAACAATTACTAAAGCTCATTTTTCGTCTCTCACCCTGCGGGCTGAGAGGACGCTTTCTGAGCCTGCTCTTGCTTACACCTGGTGGCGAACCGTGTACTACAGTACGCAAGATGGCGGATCGTCAAGGTAGAAGAGGTAACACGGTCTGTGTGGAATTTATTCGTGGCTCTCTCAGTGGTGCAACGATGCATGTCTTGTTGCCTACCATCATTCGCGACGTCTATGGCATCCCCACTGAGGAATTATATGGTGTGGCTCTCAATGGGATGTCGAGGTTTTTTGTAAAATTCGCAAATGCCGGCTTTTACTCCAAGATTGTGGACGCTTTTCAAGAGAGGAAAATGGCGGTGAATTCAGCTGTAGAGGTATGTCTGCTGACGTCTCCACATACGTCACCTGGGTCAAAGTAAGGAACGTGCCTTTCGAGGCGGAGAGGAGTATGTTATTCGGAAAGTTTTTGGCAAATACGGCACGGTACATGCAGCGACCAAGGGAGTATGGAGGAGGGCCCATACGAGGGGCTCCCGGAAGGCTCCTGCACCCTAAAGATGACATTAAAACAGCCGATTCCATCTTACGTTTATCTAGAGCACTACAGGACCCAAGTTTTTGTTCACTATGCGGGCCAAGTAAGACATGCAGGTTATGCAACTCGTATGACCATATGGCTGCTCAGTGCTCCAGACGCCTGGTTGTACGTATCCGGAACCTTCTCCTGTGGTCCTAAGAACCGAGGCCTTTGATCTGGAGACTGGTCCCTCGCCTGAACAAGGACCTAAGCTTTGGAGTGAGGAAGTACAACAAGAGGAGATGCGGTCTATGGCGTGCGCCACCCTGTCGGTGGACACTACAAACGTGCCCACGCCACCTGTGGGGCCTACGGAGCCTGTGGGGTTGTCACAGGAAAGTTTGCTGGAGAACGTGCTAAACGATCTCCTGGATGGGGCAGAGCATAGCCCAGACGTTTCACCGGAGAGTCAAGAAGTGGTGAAGGATGAGTCGCCAAGAGGGGAGACCGGACGTGCCTACAATGACACGGATGCATGAGGTGGTGGTGGAAGTTCACCAGGAGGCTTCGTCTGGTGAGGCGATGTGTGTGGAAGTTGGTTCCCGCAACGGACGGCAGGAGTGTCGGATATGGACGAGGTCCTGACACCGGGACAGCGTCCAGGGAAGAAATTATGGTCGAAAGTGGCGGAGGCGCCTCCTGCAGACGGGGTTGGGGCAAGCGCCCAGCATGTGGGTAGGCACGGGGGGGTGAGGGGGCCTTGGGAAGTCAAAGGTCAAAGAAGGTCAGTGTAATGTACATGTAGGAACCGGAAGACCCACAAGCATAGAGGAAAACCTCCTTTTGTGAATTCAAGTGTGTTACCATCAATGTAAATGGTCTGCGGGCAGAGTTTAAGTGTGTGTGGATGGAGTGGTTCTTGCGCAGATATGCTGTGGACGTATGTTTCATACAAGAACACAATTATAAGTTTGGGCGAGAGTTACGGTTAAAAGGCTACCGAATGTATGTTAGCAGTTCTTTAAAATTAAAGGGTGGGGTAGCTATAGCGGTGAAGGAGTCCAGCCCTTGGCGTGTCTTAAGATGGAGGAGGGGGAGGTGGGAGGGTGGTGAGGGTAGTATGGGTACTGGGTGAGGTGAGGGTTTGTTTTATTGGCGTTTACATGCCAGCGGAAAGCAACACTAAAAGTTAAAGTAGATTTGTAAGGAGGCTTTAACGTTTTACACTCGGGGTTTGCCGTTCATTACCGTCATGGGTGGGGATTGGAATTGCGTTATCCGCCATGGCGATGTTGAGCCGCGGGGGGCGGGGTGCGTTTTACCTGTCTTACGGAATCTGCTGGGGGATGCAGGGGTTTATGATGTTGTGGGGCGGGGTGGGTGGGGGTTGGAGCATACGTTCGTTCGTAGGGGCTATGCGGCCCGTCTGGATAGACTTTATGTAACACAAGGGATTAGAGTTGGGCACGTACAGACCTTTGATGTGGGGTTTTCAGATCACCGTTGCAGTGCTAGCGGACTTGAACTGGGATGGAATGATCAGGGTTTATCCAGGTTATTGGAAATGAACGTGCGGCTATTGGAGGGGGAGGGGGATGGGTCAGCTTTTCAGACTGGTGGAAGGATATTTGGGAAACGCGACGGGCAGGTGAATGTTTGTTGGAATGGTGGGAAACGCGAGCCAAACCTGGAATAGCGAGTTATTATAAGAAGCGGGGAAAAGAGGAGGCGAGGTGGAGGTATGGGCTGCAAAACTATCTGGAGGGGCAGCTAAATGATTACTATGTGGGGGGCGGGAGTAGTAGTCGGTATGACGACATTGAACATCTTCGTAGTCGACTTGCAGAAATTCACAATGAACGTTTCAATGCAGTTAGAGTCAGAGCAGGTATGGAAGAAGTGCTATGGGGTGACAAACCTTCGGGTTGTGTCTTGCGCAAATTTAGGGTCAGGCAACAGGTGACGTCCCTCTTGCAATTGGAAGTATGCACGGGTTGGGTGGTTACCTGCCGGGTCAAGTACTCCTCACCACGGACAGCATGAGTTTTTATGCTGATCTATGGTTTGGGGAAAAAGCTACGGAGGGGAGTAGGGGGGGTCCATGAGGGCGGCCTGGTGAGGAGGGATTTCAGAAAAGTTATAAGTGACAGGGATAGAACGGTACTAGAAGGTAGAATTCGAGTGGAGGAGGTAGAGGAGGCGATTTTTAGTATGAGTAAAGGAAAGGCACCAGGTATAGATGGCATTTCGAATGATTTTTATAGGGCGCATTGGGGAAGTATTAAGCATTGTTTAGTTGATGTATTAAATTGCATGCTCACGGAGGGGAGGTTAGGTATGTCACAAAGTACGGGGGTAGTTGTGTTGGTGCCCAAAAAGGGAGGGGGGAGGGGTCTGAGTGCATATAGAGCAATATCTCTTATGTGCTCTGACTATAAAATCTTTGCAAAAGTTTTAGGAAACAGAATGAGGAAGGTTATGGGGTCGGTTATTCACGAGGGACAGCTAGGCATACCAGGTAGGAGCATGAGGGACGGACATGTACGTATTAGGGAGTTTTTGGAGGAATGTCAAGGGGGGGTGTCCTCGGGCTTGACTGGCAAAATGCTTATGACTGTGTTGATAGGGATTTATTGAGGCTTATTTTATTGAAGCAGGGTTTTGGAAGGGAATTGCAAGATGGGTGGATACCTTGTATGCCACGGCTATGGTACGCGTACAGGTAAACGGTAAATTGGGTCAGCCGGTCCGTATGGAAAGGGGTTTGAGGCAAGGGTGCCCCCTCTCCCAGCTGCTTTTTGCTTGTATGCAAAACCCATTTTATGAGCTGGTGGATGGTGGTTTGAGGCGTGGAACGCTGAGCAGTGACCATGCAGCGCGTGTGGTCGGGTACGTAGATGATACCACAATTCTGTTAAAAGGGGAGGAGGATTTGCAGATCGTGGGATGGATTGTTGAGTTTTTTGGGGCAGAGTCAGGCATGTGCGTTAACAAGGCAAAATCGAAATTATTGGAGGTGGTACATGGGTGGGGGGGAGGTTGGGCGAAAGGTATGGGTGGTCAGTCGTGGTGCAACTTAGAATATGTGGCATCGTTGTACATGGCAGATGAGAGGGAGAGCCGAAGGGTAAACTCTAGATTGGTGGTTAACAAGGCTTTAGATCGACTTCGGGGGTTAAGAGCTGGGGATGTCTCGTTGCAACAGAGGACAGTAGTGGTTAATACACTTGTTTATAGTAAAGTATGGGGTGTGGCCGCGGTGTACCCTTTAAGAGATACGGATATTCAGGATCTGCAGAGAAGGGTCTTACGTTATGTTTGGGGTTTCGGGAGGGCTTGGTTAAGTCGGGAGGTTGTCATGACCCATGTTCGCCGTGGGGGTTTAGGTCTCTTGGCTTTGGGGCCACGGGTGAAGGCCCTCTATGTAAAGCAGCGGTTCCTTAGGGCGGGCGGTGAGAAGGGCATCCGGGTGGGTCGGGTAATGATCGAAATGCGTAAATGGTGGAGCGGCAGGGGATTAATAGAGTGTGAGGACATGCTGCGTTTGTTGTTAAAGTTGAGAAATGCGCAACGGACCCAGGTGGGGCAAATGGTCAGCATATGTTGTCGTAGGGAAATTGTACAGGGATTGTCTGTTTTTCCGCTGTACAATTGGGGGGAAATATGGGAAGGATTTTGTAAACTTAAGTTAGCACCAAGGGTTCGTGAATTGGTGTACAGATTTGTCATGGGGATTTTGGCATCAAAAGCGGTCTTAAATAGGATGGGTTGGTAAGGGGAGGCGGATTGCTTGCGTTGCGGTCTTGAAGAAAAGCTTTTCATGCTGTCTACTTTTGTGATACTTGGACTAAGTTCGTTCGTGGTGGGGGGCGGGTTTTAGATTTTCTTAGTGGGGGAAGTATTTCAACCTTACGGGCCTTAACATTGGAAGTTAGCGGAGTATCAAGTGAGGTACGAAGAGCAATAATGTACGTGGTGGCTGATTTTCTCTATATCTCGTGGGGTATGCGGGAAACCGGGGGATCAGGTAGGATCAGGGCAATTGCGGCAGGTATCTACAGAACGTATTGCAGAAATAAACTCGTATATGGTAGAAGTTGGGATGATAGTTTTCCGGCAAAGTATCGATGTCTTACTGTTCAAATGTTGCTGCAACTGCGGGTGGGGTAAGGCAACGGGGGGCTGGACTCCCCCCGTGGTAGCACCAAACGGTATGTTAGAGACTTTAGGGTAGAGCGCGGGTTTTAGGGATGTGACGTTATGTATTATGAATGGTTCCGTACGTCTGTGTGTGTATGGTTGTGGCGTTGTGTGGCACTGAGATCTTGAATTACTCATAAAATGAAGTCTTGTGGAATGTGTGACACGTTTTGTTAAGTTTATATGTGGCGTGATAGATGTTATAAGGAGTTTAGTGTTGGTAACTTACTAAAATCATAATAGACCATTTGGATATTACTTTTTCATGTTGTAATCTTGGGTTCTTTAAAATGTGTACATAGCCTAGTATTGTACCGCTATGTAGCATGTGGTGTATTATCTTGCATTTTGAGCGTGAACTTCACCATATGCAATGTTTTGAAAGTTTATAATTCATGGTTAACATTAATATTTGATATTTTATTGGTGGTGTATATTCTTCTACTTATTACAGTGTATGTGTATAGGAGTGTAATGTTTCATAACTGTTTTAGTCTGTAAATTTATGTTGTGTCTTGTTCATGCACTACCAACTCTTAGGTAAACACTCATTAAGGTTTTGATGAGGTCAGTGTATGACCATTCATTAGGATAATTAATGTATGTTATTTAGAACGGCGACTGTACATACGGGGGGGGGGGTAGAAGTGTCAGCTGTGTCTGCACTGGCAATAATGATTGTAAAAGGAGGGTTTGTAGGTTATGTATATGGTTGTGGGTTATGTATATGGTTGTGGGTTATGTATATGGTTATGGGTTATGTATATGGTTATGTATTTGGTTGTGGGTTATGTATATGGTTGTAATATGGCCATTATCTATGGTGTTCTTTAAATGTACCAGGATTGTGTACTAGAGGTTTTGTAATATCTAGTGTGGTTTTTAATTTTATACTCTTATACATTATTGTATTTGTCCTATGTTCTAAATAAAAATATAAAAAAAAAATTACTAAAGATCATAGGTACTTCCCCAAAAAATATTTGGCAGTTCATTATCCTAGTTTATATAATATTTCTAACTGGGATAGTTCATTAAATCATCGCCGTTCTAAAATTTGTAATACTGTTTAAATAGATAAAACCATTTTTAGGTAATTATTTAAATTTATCGAAAATCAATTATTTAAACCCTGAACATGTCATTTTTCTTTAAGCAATAAACCCTCATGGGTAAGTAGTGGAGATGCGATCCTCTGTCTACTAATCACAGTCTGGTCCTTACCCAGTCGCGGTATTGCAAACCGCCGAACTCACAAATAGGAAGTCTCTCCCTTGTACACATTACATTACATTAGTTTAAGACTAGTAGTCTTAAACTAATTTATTGTTTTTAATGCAATAACGCTAATATGGAGAGAGAAGAGTAACATTAATCCATCATGCAACAGAACAAACTAAACGAGTGAGCCCATTTTCAGCAGGATCCAGGAGCTCAGCACCACCACCCTAACAATCTCAGCACTACCGGGATTTTCACAGCTGCTAAATCTACCATTACCTCGTGAATTTTTACATGGTTGACTGGTAAGCCAGAGAAGGGTCTCGAATGACAGATCTTTAGAGTAGGCTATCATAACTAAAAAAAATATTTCTATTATTATCTATAAGCGAAGTACCATCTTTTCCACCCAAAAGAATGTTCCAGACTGGGTTCCTCAGAAATGTGGCAGACTACTGCTAAAGTTTAAATATTTCTGCATCTCTTTAAAAAAAAAAAAAAAAAAAAAAAAAAAAGAGATATGTAGGCAACAATAATTTAGGGATTATTTACCGTTATACACGTAAATACAGCAGATTACTGCTAAAGTTTAAATATTTCTGCATCTCTTAAAAAAAAAAAAAAAAAAAAAAAAAGAGATATGTAGGCAACAATAATTTAGGGATTATTTACCGTTATACACGTAAATACAGCATCAATAACTCTCGCAGTTAAGTTGCTGTATAGCCCTTGTGGCTTAGCGCTTCTTTTTGATTATAATAATAATAATCGCAGTTAAGTTTTAAGTCTAGCCACTTCAAAATGACGGCTAAGCGAGATGACAGCTGCCAGCACAGAACTTCCCACTAGTGCAAATCTTGGCACTTGTGAAATAAATTTAGGGTGTACATGTAAGGTTAAGCGCGTTTATCTAGACCAGTGGTTCCCAAACTGTGGGTAAATTACCCCCTGGGGGTAATTTAACCATTTTGTGGGGTAATGGAGGGGTGACAAAAAAAGTTATGAATTCTGAAAATCAAGAAAACAATGCGGTACCCGGTATGAGGATTATTGTTAACTTTGTCTTAGTATATAAAGTTGTAAAGTAAACCTATTATAAGTAATAAAGTTAAACCAAATAACAATAAACATCAAAAACTAATATACAGTATTAGAAAAGAAATATATAGCTAAGTGTGTGGAAACCCAAAAGTATTTTGACAAGTATGCTTCAGGACAAAAGTCACTCAGTAGCCCAGATCGACCTGTCCAGTACGCATCACTCACTTCCTGAGGCTGCCTCTATTTCACACTGTCAGTTTATCTGTGAGCATCAGCCGAGGTAGACATAAGCTGGTATGTACGTGTACTGCCCTGTGCAGTATATAGTTAGCATTTACCCACTGTTACTGTGAATTTGTAGCTATTATTAATTTTATATATAATGTATGTGTGGTTCTTACGTTTTCAATGGTTTTGCTAGGATTAGCAGAGTATGCGAGGCTGTATACGTTCACGTTTAGCCATATATATCAATAATAACAACATTTTGTGAAAGGGGTAACATGCTTTATGTGGCATGTTAAATTGGGTAACAAGCTGAGAAAGTTTGGGAACCACTGATCTAGACCATCTTTACTGGCCAAGTTTTGGTCCTGTGATCATAGCTCTAAATGAAAGATTTGGAGTGACCAAGGTTAAGTAATGATGCCCTACGTTCTTTTATCCATGTGTATCACTGTACCCTCTACCTTCATTATTTTGTATAGTGAACACTTACAGTGAGGTTATTGGCACGCACGTCCAGCTCGTTGAGTTTATCTTCTCTCTCTATGATGCGCTCCACGTTGGTTTTCATTATGTCCACTACTTCATTGACCTGCTGCTGCGTCTGCTCCAGCCGGGTCCTCGACGCCACCTACGTTGGAAACAATTTATTCATGGGGAAGCGGTAAACCAGTAAGAATATTACAGCGTCTGGAGAATATGGATTAATTATTCAAACCCAAGGAAAGATACTACAGCTGAAACTTTTAATCGAGAGCCCTTCACAGGCATCAAGCTACCCCTTCACAGGTATCAAACTACCCCTTCACAGGCATCAAGCTACCCCTTCACAGGCATCAAGCTACCCCTTTCCCTGGGAAGGGTAGGGGCACTCAAACTATTAGTAATTGCCATTAACTCGCCATGTAAATAAATTTATAAAAAAGAGGATTTTAACTTCTTAAATTTACAGGGAAAGAAAGGCCGTGAAAGTCATACAGCGTCTTGGGAATGGAAGCTAATCAGATTTGATTCCTTGTATCAATGTCAGCTGTATAGCCCTTGTCCCCTCAAGGAAGGTTCCTTGATGTTGGTGAGGGGCTCTTGATTTAGGGAATTGGATCTGTGCTCCAGTTCCCCGAATTAAGCCTGAATGCCTTCCACATCCCCCCCCCAGGCACTGTATAATCCTCCGGGTTTAGCGCTTCCCCTTGATTATAATAATAATGTATAGCCCTTGTGGCTTAGCGCTTCTTTTTTATTATAATATAATATGTATCAATGTCAGTAATTAGATATACTTGTATAGTATGCATACTACACAAGTATATTTCTGGACAGACTCCAACACAAAGGCTCCTTTTCCTATAGGAACAAGAGCTATTAAATGCATGCACTCAAACAGGTCGCACCATGTTAGTTTTGAAGGGCAGATCAGGACCAATTCCCTAGATCAACAGCCCCTCTCAATGTTCACATTTTCCAACCTTTTCCTGAGAGTCCTTAGCTGTTGCACTACCTTTCATCCACTAGATCGTGTTACTGCGCTATAAACATTATAGCTGTATAGCCCTTGTGGCTTAGCGCTTCTTTTTTATTATAATAATAATATAAACATTATATTCACAGTAAAAATTCGAAACGCGTAAGGGCCATTGTGCTAAAAGTTACCCACTGAATTAAATGAATGTGCTGTCTGCTTGCTTCACTGAAGGATGGACAAGTAATATTTTCGATTTTCATTAAGTAAAGATTCTGGCTAAAATTTTAGCAATTTTTTAAAGGAATTATTTTTTATCTCTTAGTCACTATTCCATGATTTACAGGAACCGGAGGTGTTACCCAGTCAGTACTAAAGTGCAATTTTAAAATCACCCTTAGAAGAAATTTGAATGGCTTACCTCTGCTGGGTCTTTAGAAGACTGGTTCTCCGGATGCATCATGGTGCCTGTGGAAGGTAGAAAATGTATTGAAAAATGCAAATATTAACATTACACTAACGAATAAAAAGACTGGCCCTTTCCTGGATTTTAGCAAAACCAAAACTGATTTCAGATAACCCGGGACGTGACAGGTTTACCTTTCGCCTGTCATTTTCTTTCATAACAAGAGGAAAGCGTTAAATTCTTTGAAGTCTTCTAACTTCAAAGAATTTTTTTTTTTTTTACACTATACGGGAAAGCACCAAACTTAATTAAGGCCATATAACGCCTAGGGAATAAGCGGTGGGGCCGAGGCAATGAAGAGATTCGTTATATAAAAGAACCTTCACCAGCAACACTGACCCTTGTTGTCCTCGATTGCAGTATTTGCTCGAAAGTTTACCACTGCAGACTGTCCTAACCATTTTCTATGCTTAAGCTAGTTTACCTGTATGTGCTCTCTGAGGGTGAAGGGAAGTACCTTTCCCTCTTTCTGGATCAAGTCTTATGGCTTCAAATATCCCTAGTGCTGTCTGACCCCTAAGGTTTAGCGCTCCGTGAGAAATTGTATTCGCCATCTGGGTTTAGATTAAAGTTTACCAATTATAAGCAAGAGATGCAATAATTTAAAGAGAGTTTAGTGTTACGAACAAACTAAAAACCTGAAGACCAAGCATGGAACTCCAATAACCAGCAGCACCCGGAGAGAGGATTTTGATCCAAGGAATCTGACCTAACCTCCCCTTGCATGGAACCTGATTGCCTCCCATAACTCTGTGCTGTATGACCCCTACTGGTTTAGCACTCCTAATAATCAATCTCTCCGTTTCCCAAATTTCTTTCTGGTAGTATGGAATACTCAAGCAGACTGACGAAGAGTGATTACCGCATAAACGATCAACAGAACAGCTAAGTAAAGGATTTTTTTGAAATTTCAAGGCCGATTTATACGATACTTTAGTTTTTAAACGTCTGCAAAAAAAAAAAAAATGCAGGAACTAATTACTGTGTTAAGTTTCAAGCCTGTCAACTGAACCAGTTGTCTATGTTCCCATCGGTAAAATGGGAACCTGGGTGTTAGTCAACTGGTGTGGGTCGCATCCTGGGACAAAACTGACCTAATTTGCACGAAATGCTCAGCATAACAAGGGGCTTTCTATGTAGTAGTATGTCACTTTGCCAGCTAGGACTGTATACCTTGTACATATACTTGTAGTAAAAGATATTATGCAAACCAACACACTACGCAGTGTATATATACTGTGAACGAGAGATACATACCATTGTGTAAACGTATATATCCCGCGGATCTTGCTGCCATGGTGGAAAGGGACGGTAAAGAAGACCTTGGCGCTCAAGGTGACATCTATGATTACTTGAGACAGTCTTCAGGCTGACTAGCAAGTCTTCCTTGCTGCTTGGGCGGTCGTAACAGCTCGACTCATAGATCAAATCTCAACCAGCTTCATGAAACTTCAAGTAAAACGCTTTTTCCTCAACCATTTGCGCTGCTTCAAATAAGTTGAACACAAGTGACTGAGTAATGAAACTCAACAATGGAATCTATGGTCCGTTAGCTTTACATCCTATATACTGAGGGTAATTAAATGGGCATTTCATTTGCGCAATGCCTGCAAGAATACTTTAATCCCTGAAAAGGAACTAAATACACATCTCGGTGTATATACCAAAATTACATTAGCTACCACCCCAACCTTCTAATCAACGCCAGGACATCACTGGCAAAAAACGTCAAGTGTGTCATTGTGACACTGGCGTATTACCTTTGTAAATTGTGAATTCATTACCTCTGTAACTTGCTCAGCCATCAAAACTTTGAGGCCCAGTCCCTGGACCCATTATGTACCTCTGTAATCTTTTGACTCCCGCCCACAGGATGGGTATGGGGTGCATAATAAACATATTAAACTAACTAAACTAACGTTAAGACGTATTGTTTGACAGGCTCTGTTCTGTTCACGCTTCAAAAGTTTCTTTCACTTTTTTAATTGTCGTTATGGCATGTTATAATAGGTTAAATTTTGCTTCGAGACAATTTAACCTAGCCAAAGCTAATTCAGCCTAGCCTAAATCACATATATCGTGCATTTTGCTTAAAATCGCGTGAACGAAATCAGCGTTTGTATTAGAATGAGCTGCAGATGTTCGTGAACTTAATATTGTGAGGCTTGGAATAGTGTTCAACTCTCTCAAATGCATCTTCCACCCAGCGAGTCCTATGATTTTACAAGCTTGATGCTAGTACAGGGCACTAGCACAGGATGTATACACCGAGAGGTGAATATCTCTCAATGTATATACACTGAGAGTTTAATCCCTAAAATGCAGATTAAAGTAGTGTATTCTTCACTAATGGAAAGGCAAGATTGTCTGGTAGTTAACAGGTTAAATGCACTCTAAGCGACTCGTGTAGTCGATAGCCTTTCAACCCCCTTAACCAACCCAAAGAAATGAAGCTACTCTCCCCATTCTTGAGTCAAACCTGATTACCTAGCATAAAATGGTTATAATCATAACCATAATTTTTAAGGGGATGGGCCGGTAAGCCAGCTGAAAGCCTCGGTCAGTTGACTAAAAGCTCTAGCGGCGGGTCATCATAAGACTAAAGACCCGCGTCAGGAAACACTCATCCTGTTTCCTGACAAATCTTATCTGATCTAACCCGATTACCTTGCATTCCCTGGGTGTTATATGAGCCTCACGGAGTTAACGTCCCTCCCCTTCCCCCAAGAATATAACTAAAAAAAAAATGAAAGGTTAACCGATAATAATATGCAGTGTTGATACAGGCACTTGAACCCTCCGACTGCTGCTATGATGGAATATACATTCAGGGATATATACGGACAGGTGTATACCCCTGACTGTATTTACAATGAAAGTTTACTTTAATTCCCATTCTTGAAATTAAATTAGTTTCCTTGACTGGTAGCGAACAGGTTATATGCAGCACTGATAACTCTCGTGCAGGCAATTGGCTTTAAATCCAATTAAAGAACCAATAACTCCAATTTATATCATTCGTCACTCGACCTCTGTAGTGAGCGGACGTGCGTTACACTGCCCTCTGCTGGCCGTTGAGACAAGCTGAGATTTTCTCAATATGGTGGAGCAAATACGAAGGCGGATCAACACTGTCTGTATACAGCTGGTGCGTGGGGCTGTGACGGCCCAAACAGCTTGTTAAGATAAGATAAGATTTCGTTCGGATTTTTAACCCCGGAGGGTTAGCCACCCAGGATAACCCAAGAAAGTCAGTGCGTCATCGAGGACTGTCTAACTTATTTCCATTGGGGTCCTTAATCTTGTCCCCCAGGATGCGACCCACACCAGTCGACTAACACCCAGGTACCTATTTGCTGCTAGGTGAACAGGACAATAGGTGTAAGGAAACGTGTCGGAATTTCCACCCGCCGGGAATCGAACCCGGGCCCTCCGTGTGTGAAGCGGGAGCTTTAGCCACCAGACCACCGGGCCACCTACCACCTACCATCCTACCAGCCATCATCAGGAAGACTTATGGTGTAGCTGATGAACTTTATGGAGTGGCGCTTAATGGAGCCTATAGGGTCTTCGTTAAGCTAAGAGCAACGAGTGTCTATGAGCAGTTAGTCACCAAATATCAAGACCGTTGTGTGGTTGTCAACCCGGCAGTCACAGTGAGGCTCATCGATGTTTCACGTTACTACACATGGGTTAAGGTACGAAACGTGCCTTTTGAAGCTGATGAGACGGACTTACGGCAGGTATGGGACTGTACATGTGGCGACCGTCGGAAAGTGGACGGTGGGCGCATATGCTGGCCTCCTTGAAGGTACCTTCTCGCTGAAAATGTCTTTGAAACATCCCATACCGTCGTATGTAGTGATGAATGAATTTCGTACGCAAGTGATGGTGTCCTATGCTGGGCAACACCGCACTTGTCGTCTCTATGGCGAGTATGATTATGCTGCAGCACAATGTGGCCGCCAACAGTGGAAGAAGGACGTAGGGTGGCCACCAATGGAAGAGACCGTCCAGGAGGTGACTATTGTGCCTGAGTCGGGTGCACGTCCAAAGTCGTCGTTGTGAAGTGAAGAGGTGGAGCGAGAGGAGCTGATTGAGACTCTTGTATGACTCTACCTGGAGATCCTTCCTCCATTGGCCTGGTCATACTGGGTGTGGAGGGCAGGATAGTGGCGGAGGAGAGAGTGGACCACACATTAGCGAATGTGGAGCTGGTTGAGAAACAGGCTGCTGGGATGGATGTCATCACTGTAGAGGCAGTGGTGCACAATGAAGGCCTGGAGGTAGCTATGGAGGCAGTGGGAGGATCATGCAAACGGGCGGCAGCATTGTCAGACTCTGATGATGTTCTCACCCCGGCGCAGAGGCCTGGTAAGAAGGTGTGGGCAGAGGTGGCACGAGGCTGCCCTAAGGGGCCAAGGGGTCTGGCAGTAGACACTGGAAGACCTCCGGCGTCTGGTCGTGTACATGGTGGTAAACGCCGGCAGGCGTCTAAAAGCTCTAAAAGCGGATCAGTGCCGACAGGGCACAAGGTATAGCTGGCTTAAAGTGTGTTTCAGTAAATGTAAATGGGTTGCGAGACAGAGTGAAGTGCATGTGGTTTTCTACGAAGGTATGGAGTGGATGTGGCTTTTGTGCAAGAGCACAATTATAAAGCCTGGTGTGAGTTGGTACTGGATAGATTTCAGGTGTTGCACATTCACCTCGATTGAAAGGGGTGGTTGCTATACTTTTGCGAGAGACCAGCCCATTTGTTATGTATCGTAGTGAGGTAGGGGAGGAAGGACGGGTCGTGTGAGTGGATGGGCTGTGGATAGGAGAGAGGGTCGCACTAGTGTGTGTCTATGGGCCCGCAGAGGGGGATGGTCGTGTCAAGACTGCCTTTGTGAGGGATGTGTTAGTGTACCACCACCAGTCGCTTCCCCCCATGGCGGTTGTGGGGGATGACTGGAATTGTGTGGTGAGAAGGAAAGATGTGGAGCCTAGAGGGGCAGGGTTTCACTCTGTAGTGTTAGGGGATCTTTTGAGAGGGGCGGGGTTGTGGGATGTAGCTACAGGTGAGGCGTGGGAGGTGCAGCACACGTTTGTACGATGAGGGTATGCTGCTCGTCTGGACCGTTTGTACGTAACACAGACTGCAAGGGTGGAAAGGGTGTGTGTGGTGGACGTAGCATATTCAGATCATCGGGCGGTAATTGTTGAAGTAGGGTGGGATGGGTTGCCTAAGAGGCATAGGAGTTTTTGGAAATTGAATGTTCGGCTCCTTGAAGATGGAGGGGGAGGGAGGGGTTTGCGCAATTGTGGAGGGAGTTGTGGTTGGGAGGGGAAGCTGTTGGGGATATGTTGGCGTGGTGGGATGGAGTGGCAAAGGGGAGAATTAGGGCGTATTATGTTAGACAGGGCAAGGGGGAGGCTCAGATGACTTTTGGGCTTATAAGATATTTAGAGGGGCGGTTGAGGGATTGTTATGGGAGAGGGGTGGGGGTAGGGGCTATCCTGTGGAGGAAATAGAGGGGCTGAAGCAACGCATCATGGAATTGCAGACTCAGAAGTTTGATGCAGTGCGGGTTAAGGGTGGGTTAGAGGAAGTTTTGTGGGGTGACAGGCCGTTGGTGTGTGTTCTGTGGGGGCAGCGGAAATGTCAGGCGGCTACAGAGATGGAATGTTTGTTAGTGCAGGAGGAGGTTGGAGATTTTCGTGTGGGGCAGGTGCTTCGTACGACAGAAGGGATGGGTTGTTATGTGGATGAATGGTTTGGGACTTCTTTGAGGAGTGGTGGAGTGCAGGGGGGGGGGCGTTAGAGCAGTTGGGAGGGCATGTGGTCAATGTACTGAGCAGGGGGGACCGTATGGCGCTGGGTGGGGACATTGATGAAGGGGAGGTGTGGCGGGCATTATCGGGAATGAGTAGAGGTAAATCCCCGGGAATCGATGGTCTGCCATGCGAGTTTTACTTACAAAATTGGGACATACTTAAGGAGTTCTTGGTGAGGTTGTTGAACGCGATGAAAAACAAAGGTGAGCTGGGGGTTTTGCAAGCAACTGCAGTGGTAGTCTTGGTCCTGAAGGTGGCCAGTCCACGCATGGTGAAGGACTATAGGGTTATTTCTTTACTGTGTGCGGATTATAAGTTATTTGCTAAAATATTGGGGAATAGGTTGAAGTGTGTGATCAATAGGGTGGTGGCAGCGGGCCAGTATGGGGTGCTGGGAAGGACCATGTATGAGGGGCATGGGGTGATTTGGGGGTTTGTGGAGAGTGTGCAAGGAATGGAGGGGGGGGGGTGTTGGCCTTAGATTGGAGGGCCGCATATGATAGTGTCGAGAGAGATGCGTTGTGGTGGATACTGAGGAGACAAGGGTTTGGGGATGAGATTGTGAGGTGGATACA